CCTGGGAGCCTGCTTGCCCAGGAGCTGCCCTGCTGCCTTCAGCCTGCCCCAGCTGCTGCCCCAGTGTCCCACGGGCCCCACCTCCTCTGTGGGCATCCCCAGGTTCCTGGGAGAGCTGTTGCACGGCCAGACTGGAGCTGGAGCTGCAGGGCTGGCTGCAGTGCTCTGCTATTGGAACAGTTGCCTGCTGGGGTCCTTGGAAGGCAGAGAGGGGCAGCAGATGGGAGGCTCGCAGGCTGCTGGAGGATCCAGTTGGCCCAGGAGAAGGAGCAGGATGTGTTTGCAGCGAGGTGCTCGGCCTGGTTGGTGAGGGAAGGAGTGCATTGCCCTTTCAGAGTCAGGTTTCTCCTGTTTCTCCCTGCCCAGCAGCAGTGCACAGCAGTCCCAGCTGAGCCCGTGCAGGAGGGGTGCTGTGTTTTTGCCAGCCTTGTAAAACGACTTCCCCCTCCTTCCTCACAGTCCTTTTTTGGCAGTGGTTTTCCCCTTTCCCCGCTGGACCAAACCAGTCTGGGTCTTGAGCATTTCCTGGTGATTCCTTGAGTTCCTGTTGTTGCTGTTGTTCTGCAGCCTGTCACTGGCTGGTTTTTTGTCTCAAGACCACAGTGCTGCAAGTTTGGAAGTGGCAATCCCAAAGAAGCCTTTCCCTGTCTCGGGAAAAGCAGTGATTTGCTCAAGCTGGTTAAAACTGACCCCATCCCTGTTTTCCTCCTTGTCACAGTGTTGTACTGCTGGTGGGATGAGTTAAGTTTAAGGTTTCCTGGGAAGATAGAGAGGGTGCCTCTCTGGGGCAGTAACTGTGCTGTGGGGCTGTCAGAGGGCTTGCACCTCCATCTCCTTCCTCGTGTCCTCTCTCCAGCACTCCACAATACCTAAATTATTTTTAATCTGATGAAGAGAGTGATTAAGGCCAGACCCAGAGCTAGCCCCAGTGGTCACTGTGAGAGGCATGGCAGTGGATCATTAACTCTTGGAAAATAATTTTCCAGTCGAGTAGTGCTTACACCTGTGCCAGGGTCAGAAAATCCCTAACTTCTTGGTTTGTGTTTTGAAAACATTTAAGATTTCATCCTCAGCTGCAGGAGTTAGAAGGAAAAGTGGTGAAAACCTGGAGGGAAATGGAAGCTGCAGAGCCTGCAGAAAGTTTCCATGGAGCTGGGGGCGAGGGGGACTGGCTGCTGCTGCTGCTGGGGGCAGAGCTGGCACTTGCCCCATGGCATGGGTTTGGCAGAGCCCAGGAGCCTCTCAAGGACAGAGGGAACCAGGGGGTTCTCAATCGAGTTCATGTTTACTCTCAGTCACCCCATGTTGCTGAATTCGCCAGATGGAGGTTTCTGGATCTTTTGCCAGTAAATACAAAACGTGCTGGTCAGGAGTACAGCTCCACAGGGATGGTGTGTGTGTGCAAGACACACTTGAGAGCTGGTGTGGAAAGAGGGACTCACGCAAGGGGATGGAGGCTGCAAGTCAGATGCCTCTTATAAAGAAAACCAGTGTTAAATAATTAGAAGATCTTTTGTCCTCTCAAATGGTGCAGAAATCAGTTGTTTTTTCCAAGACTGAGCACAATAGGATGCAGCTCTTGCCTGCCAGCAGGAAAAAGCAGGATGCCAGGTTTGATCTGCCACCAGGACTGTTTCAGTGCTGTCCCCAGGCTGGGAAGGAGCATCCCAGCAGAGTCAGCTTCATTCAGGAGCCACTTGTGCTGGCCCACAGATCACTCGAGAGGAAGGGCAAGCAGGGGATTTGCTGCAAAATCCAGTAAAAACCCTTTTCTTCATGGTTTTGCCTGCTTTGCTGTTGTCCTAGAGGGAGGTGGCACCAGGTGACCCACAGTAGTCCCTGCCAGCCTGGCCCATTCTGGAGTTCTGTGGAATGCAGATGTACATCTTTGCATACATTTTTGTTTCCATCTCTTCTGTACAGAGTTGTAAATTTGGGGGGCTCATCTCTCTTTGATCCATCTGTAAATTAGACAAGTGGGTGCATAAAGATTGATAAAGTTGCCTCCACCTGGTGTTGGACCCCTTTAGCTCAACCTCCACAACTTAGACATAAATGTTATTCCATTATTTAAAATTTCCTCAGCTTGCTGACCCCAAGTGAGAAGTGAGAGCATGGACGTGGCTCATCTTTGCTGCTGCGTGTTTCCCTGGGGTTAGCTTGTGCCCTGGAGGGGAAAACTCCACTTTTTTAGCTCTGGAGACAAGCCTTAAACATTGAGGAGTAATTGCAGCGTGCTGCAGGCGAGTTACAGATTGCTGCTGCTCCTGGGACTGTCTCCGTGGCAATCTCAGCCTGATAAAGTTCACAAAGAACTGGAACCGCTCAAGGCCACAATTGAAAAAACATTTTGGGAAGCCGGTGGAAGGTTTCCAGCGTGCCTGGTTGCAGGAGCAGGGAATGCAGCCTGGCCTCCCCAGCGCCAGCATCACTGGGGATTTTTAGCACATGTGTAGGGACACTTGGGGTGTTGCCCTTTAGGAACCAGCCTGGCTCGTGCAGGCGTGTGAGTACCAGGAAACAGCAGCTGTTTTATGAGAAAAAAAGGCTTTATGGTCTGTTTGCTTACCTGAGATTGTTGGTTCACCCCCCTGCCGTTTGTACCTGGCATCTGGAGGCAGAGAGAGCCAAGGGGAAGCTCTGTGAGGGGGCTCAGCTGCAGAGAAGGAGGCCCAGGGGGGACAGGACCCTGCCCAGGTCCCTGGCAGGAGGGCACAGCTGGGGAGGGGCTCTGGGCTCTGCTGCCATGGAGCAGGGACAGGACAAGAGCAAACAGCCTCCAGGGACGTTCACTTTGGGAAACAGGAGGAATTTCCTCACTGAAAGGGGGGTCGGGCATTGCCTGGGGAGGTGCTGCACTCCCATCCCTGGAGGTGTCCGAGAACAACTTTGGATGGGGCACTCAGTGCTCTGGTCTGGGTGACAAGGTGGGATTGGTCACAGATTGGACTCAATGGCCTCAGATGTCTTTCCCAGCCTAAATAATCTTGGGATTCTGTAAAAATGTGTTTGAGCTACTGGTTTATATCCTTTCATTTTATCAGGGTGGGGAAAGGAAGCACCCCTGATGTTTCCTCCCTGCCCAAACCTGCTCCATCCTGACAGCAGCACGTTGGGATGATGAGCTGTGCTGCACCCTGCCTGGAACACCGACATGGATTGAGCCAGGATCATTGTCCAGGGGTTGTTGTTTTGTTCTGCTTGTTCCCTTTGCCTCCAGGCTGCTCCAGCCGAAGTGCAGCTTGCCCAGACTTGCACTGCACGGAAGTGGGAGGGAGCTTTGAGGCTGAAACAAGCAAGGGACTCCTTTGGGAGTGAGAGACTCCGGGGATGGAAGCTGAGCCGTGACCCTGTGCCAGTGTGCTTTTGGCTTCTGGCCTCCCGAGGGGAAAGGGAGGAAGTGGGAGCAGGACAGGAACCTGTGCCAGACAGAGCATCCTGCCCTCAAACCCCTGCTCTGGGAGTGCCTGCGAGCAGGAGAAGGGCTGTGCTTCCTCTGGGACGGCACTGCAGGAGCTGCAGGGGCATGAGGAGAAGGAATTCTGGGCATTCTGGGCCTGCAGCAGGCACCTGAAGCTGGCTTTGCTCCTGGGACCCAGATTCCCTGTGCCCGAAGCCTGGGTTTATTCCCAGGACCCAGATTGATTCCCTGAGACATCCCCGGGCTGTTCCACAGCCCTGTGTTTACATCCTCCCAGTGCTCCCTGATTGCTTAACTGCTTGTCAAGGACTCTTGAGAATCTCACAGGAAACTCGGGAAGTGCAAAGTGGGATTGCTGGGCCGTCTCCTCCCGATGTTTCTGTGTGTTAAACAGAGCTGTGATAGCAGGGGCAGAGAATAAACATCTGGGGTTGGAAAAAGTGCTGCAGAAGCTCTTGTGCAGCCTCTGGGGATCTCACCCTTTTTGGGAAATAATGGCCAGCACCAGTTATCCTACACTAAAAAATAATTCTTTTTTTTTCCCTTTTCTTTCCAGACTTTATATTCAGAGCACCCATTAAATTAAGCAAAACAGGAGAGCTCCGAGAAGAATATGAAAGCCAGCTGAGGAAGGTCAGTATTTGTGGGTAATTGTGGTTTTTCTTCCAGAACAACTTGGATTTCCTGCAGGAATGCCATCCTACCTGTAGGGAAACCTGAAGGGCTCTTTTTTCCTCTTCTCTAACAAAGCTCATTTATTCTCTTTACACTGTTCAGCCAGTTCAGGAAATGGCTGTAATTGAGCATGTAGAAGCCAAATTTTGCTGTCTTAGTCTGCCTTCTAGAACATGGAAATGTACCTTCTTTGGAGTGAGTGTTTGGTTGTGGATGTAATTCCATCAAGCCTTTTGCAGCATGAGGCATCTCCTTCTTCTCAAACCTCCTTCTCCTCAAAAGCAAACTATTCCAAACTAGAGCTTTCTATTTTTTTTTTAGCCAATAGTGAAATGTCTTTTAAAACAGCCTTGTCTGCAAAAAGATACCATGTGCAGTCCAGTGCCAGCCCTTCTCCCTTCCCTTCCAGTCAGGAAATACTTGACCATGTTTCCAGCATTTGGGCATGTTTTTGTCTTGTTCTCCTTCAGCCTGCTGCCTTCCTCTTCTCGCCCCCTGGCAGATGGGAGATGGGTTCCTTCCCCCTGCCAGCTTAAACTTGGTTTTTGTGAAGCTCAGCTGAAAGAGCCCTGTGGGAGGAGAGTCTGAGAGTCGTCATCTCAGAGGAAATGGCAGTGAGATTTGGCTGGTACCAGGACAGCTGACGATGCAGTCACACTGTTTCCTTGTTCACAGAATCAGAATGGAATCACAGAATCATTTAAACAAGGGAAAAGCCCTCACTTGTTACCTGGGGTGAGAGACTGGCTCTCACCCGGCTCTGCCCTCCTGTCAGGAAGCTGTAGGGAAGCTGATCTGAAAATTGTCACTGTTGCTACTTATCAAGAGTTTCTTGGCATCTCTGAACTTCTGAATCAGGGAGCACTCAGGTTTGGGAATCTAAGCTTGGATAGGATTTGGTTTCCTTCCCTGTCTCAAGACACAGGGTTTGATCCCAGCTCCCCTGCCCATGGAATGGGGAAAACCTGGGCTTTCCTCCTGAGGAAGGGACAGGAGCATTTCCAAACCTTTTTACGTCTCCCAGATGTGAGTTGTTTTACATATCTGAACTCCTGACCCGCTTCCACCCTTTTTGCAGTTGAAAACAAAGTGGTACCATAATTATGTACTGAAAAGATTTTGTTTGACATGGATTATCTCATAGCTGAATTTTCTCAGCTGCCTTTCAGAATGCGATAGATCTTTGCTGTCTGTGCAGGACAGCAGGATTGGGTTTTCCTCTTTTGTGCCCTTGGTGCTCTTGCATTTTTTGTTTTCCCAGAGGAGTTTGTCATTTCTGTGCACTCAAACCCTCACTCACCCTGTCCAGCTGTCTTTGCCTCTATCACAAGCCAGTCTGTAGCTTGTGAGCACACACAGAGTGGGAGGGCAGCTCCCACCTGAGGCATGTGCTGACGTGCAGCCTCCGGAGCCTCGGACCTGGGCAGTCCTGCGGGGACAGGAGCGACCAACCGTGAGTTTGCCCAACTTTGGGAATTAATATTAGTGTCAGGAGCGGTGCTTCTGAGTGAGCACTTAGCCATTGCTTGTACAGCATTTTCCCCCTGCAGCCGCAGTATCAAAAGGACGGAAATGTGTTTTCTGATAACTGTGCTGTTCACAGCAGCTGCTGGTGCTGCATCCAGTATTTCAGAGATGCTGCTCAGGTAACAGGAGGTCCTTCTCCCAGGAAGAGAGAGACACATGTCTCCCACGTGTTTTACACTATTTTGTTTCAGTTTCTTGTCCTCCTGTCCCAGCACAGCATCGCCATGTCTGGAAGGAAATTCTCTGGGAGACAATTTACATTAAGGCTACTTCAAAGTATTATTTCTGAAATTAGTACAGATTTTATCATTGGAGTTTGATTTTGCTTGCAGCCTTAACTCTGGACCTAAATTCTTTTCTTTATTCTATTAATTAGGATGAGGATCCTGTTGTTGCCTTTTTGACTTTACTATCAGCAAAGCTTGGGTTGTCGCCTCACACTTTCCCCAAAATCCTTAAATATTCCTGTGTGTTGTTACATATTCTCCTGTCTCTTGATTTTATAATTTAGCCAGAAAAGTGAATTTTTCCACATAACTTTCTTCCACATGAGGAATGCAGAAGGGACACGAGTGCTGGGTGGTATTTCAGCCAGCCCGAAAAAATATAAATCTTTATGATAAACCTTGGTGTGAATTTGTTTTTCAGATACTTCCAAAAAGGCAGAAATACTGTTGACTTAGAGCAGGCTATTCATCATGTCTGCATCATGTGGTCACAATCTATGTTAGTCAGACTCTGTTGTAGTTATTGCTTGAGATTATTAATAGATGAGGAATTTAAAGATACATCTTAAAACAACTCTGAGCAAGGAGTCAAACCGGTCTTTGAAAATATTTGCTGAACACCCACAATCAGCCAAACAGGGCAGTTTTTCCTCCTTGTTTTCCTCCTTGTTTCTCTCTTCCTCATCTCTGGGAGCTTGGATTCAGTAGGATTTGGGTCTTTGCCAGTTTGAAAATCACAATGTGCTTTTCCTGTAATGCCTCGTGGACTCTGATTTCTTTGTCATCTTATGTCCGTACTTCTGAGGTTTTCCCTTCCTCCAGCAGGGAAGAAAAACACTAAATATTTTTGGAAGAAGTTGTTGCTGCCTTGTTGAGTCAGGGAGCTTCCTAAGCACCTGAGATGCCTATGGCCAAATATGAGGAAAAGCCCGGGGATAAGAGTTCCTGGGGCTGTGGTTCATGAGCAGGACAAAGAGGTGTCAGTCAAGGTGTGGATAACTTCAGGGTGGAGGGGGAAGGAGGGAGGCTCTGTTCTGTGTACAGAGAGATGGAGACAATTCCTGGGCTGTGTCTAGGCTGAGGAAGGGGCAAGGCACAGGCTGGGAATGCTGCATTCACCTTTTATTTTAGATGCTGCTGCTTGTGTGTCTGACAAACTGTGTGTGCTGCATGTCAGGGAGGCTAAAACTGGAATATCACAGCTTGCTTGAAACTGGTGTTGCACATTTTTATGTGTAGTGTGATCACCTACAAGCAGAGAAGAGCTTTTGTCTCTCTGTTTTAGAAAATATAGGGGCAGGGAAGGCTTTGTCCAGCCCTGGGCCTCGCGGTGCCTTTGTTGTTTTGCAAAGAAGATAAAATCCATGGTTCTTATGTATAAAACATAAATGTGGCATAGAAGCAAACCATTAGAAGCATCTCATTATTGTGAGAGAGAGGCAGTGGCTCTAGCCTGGAGTGGAGAAATGAAGGCACAAAATTAAATGATGGGACCAAACTCTTGGTCTTTCCAGTCTCTAAGTGCAGGACTTCAGATGATAACTACTCTACCTCTTTTGTCCTTATTTCCAGCTGAGAGAGGAAAAGCTACAAGAAGAAAAGACGTCTGAGGATCTGATTCACAAGTTCATCCTAGATGACATGGACATAGGGAAAAGAAAAATGGAGGAGCAGCAGAAAAAAGATGAATCTGTAGTGCTGAAAGGGAACCAGGACTGTGTAAGTGAGCTCATGCTTCTCCTTCCTGCCCACATGTCAAAATTTTCATTCTTTGGCTTTCCAGGATTCCTTGATGGAGTTTCTATAGTTTATGAAGGCTCTGAGCTGGCAGATTATAAAGATCCTTGTTAATGAGAACTGTGTTCTAAGGTCTGCTATGACTGCAGATGTTCCTCTAGAGGTTTCTGTCCCCCTTTTTACCCTCTGCTGTGACTCCTGCTGACACAGCAGATCCCCACAGCTTGGGGGATACCCTTGGTCTTCAGGCTTGCATGCATTTCCAGAGTATTTCTCCATGAATCTTCTGCAATGGAATTGTACAACTAAAGTTCAGCACATTCTTCATGCTGACTTCTGCCTATTTCCCATTTCATTTGGGAGGCACTGCAGGAAATGCTCTTAAAATTTCCACTTGATAGGCTGGCCCATGGGGGCTGAGTAACCAACACCCTGCAGTAACCTCTATTGTAGAATTGTCCCACATTTTCTTGATCAATAAATTACCTTTGTTGGATCACTAACAGCTATGTATAGGAGCTATGTGCTTGTTTTTGTATTTTTTATGCCTTATGTCCTGTCAGTATAACCAGAAATGGGGGATGTGGGGATCTTTAACCCTTTTGCAAGACAGAGCTTTATTTTCCAAGTTATTCTCTCTGTTGTGCGTGTCAGCTAACTGTTCCTTGATTGACTTCAGTTTCTGGAGCGTCTCTCGGACTCGGAGAACGAGGAACCATTCCAGGGCAAGCAAACACACCGCTCAGCTTTTGTTTCCAAGACCAGCGCTTACTCCTTTGCTTTCCTTTCAGGGTAAGAGGCTGACACTTTGTTTCATGTCCTTTAAAAATGTTCTTCTGACTTGTTTTAAACACAGCTGGCATGCTCTGATTCAAATGGTGGTTCCAATCTAAAATAAGTGATTTTTTTTTTCCTGGAATTTTAGAGCAGACTCTTCACAGAATGTGGTGTTTGTCTGATTCCTTCCTACCTGGAAGTTAAGGAAGTTAATGTTCATCCCATGAAGGGGAAAAAATCATTGCCTGTAGGTTTAAACTGTTAGTCAGAAATCAGAATTCTGCAGGGGGAACTCAGGAGTGGTGGTTCCCTTGTGCAGCAGGGTATGAAGGGATAGCCCCAAACTCCCTGGGAGGCTGCTGCCTGGCACAGTGGAAGCAGCTGAATAAGCAGGTGTGTTCCCAGGTGGGAAGCAGAGGGGCCTCAGTTCATCATGGCCCTGGGCAGGGGTGTCCGTGAAACCCTGCTGGGTTTCCTGCAGAGCAGCACTCTGCTGCCAATCCAGGGCTCCTGGATCCCTTTCCCCAAGGGCAGGGGAGGTGCCTCTGCCAGCCAGGGCTGATGCCTCTCCCACGGGGAGCAGCTGCCAGGGCTGCTGAGCTGGCTGTTCCCAGGGTTCCTGTTCTCACCCTTCTGCTTTTCAGGAATTTAACCTCCAAGGTGGAGAGGAGCCGGAGCTGCAACGACACCATTCAGGAGAGATCCAAGAGCAGGCAGAGGTCAGCCCCAGCCACCAAAGCCAAGGTACAGGCAGCGTGTGGAAACAGGTTCCTGTGTGTAAACGTTCTTATCTGAGGTTACACAGCTCCAGTAATCTGGAGATATCAAATATGGGCTTTGTGGCCCTGTTATCGCCCTGGGGCCAATCACCTCCTTGTGGCTCCCAATAAAACCTGCTGGGTTAGGAGTTACTAAACAGAAAAGCAGACAGGTGTCAGGGTTCTTGTGTATCGTTTGAGGCTAATTGGAATTTGAAAGGGTTCTCATCAGGCTTTTGTTTTGTGATTCATTTTCTTTTCAAGGCTGACTCCCCAGCCAGGTAAAGAAAAATCTTTTAGAAAGTTAGGAAAATAATCCTCTCTTCCTTTCCCTTTCTCTCCAAAGCTGTTTGAACAGAGCAAAACTCATTGCTTTCCTGACATCAGGGTACATTGGCTCTTCATACATAGAAGATAAAAAGGCCTGGTCCTCATGGGATCCCAGGATGGTGCGGGTTGGAAGGGAGCTTAAAGCTCATCCAACCCCCTGCCCTGGGCAGGGACACCTTCCACTATCCCAGAGTGCTCCAGGCCCCATCCAGCCTGGCCTTGACTGCTTTAAGGATGGGACAGCCCCCAGCTGCTCGTGCTAGGATGTTCCCCCTCCTCATGCTGACACCCCTCCTTGCTGGGATCAGTGTCATCCCTGATGGAGAAGGAGAGGGTTCAGGTCCAGAGATGCCTTGAGGAGCAGAGACCTGTGCAGTCTGCCACCTGAGCTGCTGGGAGCTGGACTGAGCCCAGAGTGAGCAGCCATGGCTTACCTTCCCCCCAGGACTGACTTCTTTTTAAGAGCATGCCTTATGGACATGACCAATTAGATTTCCAGTACAGGTTATTCCAAAGGCTTATTTTGACCTTAAAATAACTGAGTAGAAAAAAAATTCTTTTGGACTAAGCATGGAAAGGCTTTTATTGTACACACTAGCCACTGGATAAAAATATTTCATCCCAGTCTAAGAAGAAGACAATTTGCAGTTGTGTGTGTTGTTGCCTCTCTGATTTATTTGAGCCAGGACTATGCCCAAGTGCAGCAGCATTCAGGGACTGTGTTAGAGATGACAAGAAACATTGCTCTTAATCAGAGAATCAGTCGGGTTCAAAGAGACCTTCAGGGCCATCAAGTCAACACAGCACCAGCACAATCTCCCCTAACCCACATCCCCAGGGGCCACATCCAGGTGCCTCTTATATCTGGGCCAAGTCCTTACTCTTTCTCTCCCACAGCTTGGAAGGGAGCAAAAAATAATTTGGAGATCATTTCCCTTGAGGAGCGTGGTTCCTTCAGCCAGGGTGGTGCAGTGCTTCCTGGCTTCTCCTTGTCTTCACAGAATCATCCAGATTGGGAGAGACCTTTAAGGTCATCTAGTGCAGCCATCAACACCACTAAGTGGGCAGGTTTATCCAGGTAAAGAGAAAACACATTTCAAGGCCAGGCTGGACAGGGCTTGTAGGAATCTGGTCTAGTGGAAGCCAGTGGAGAACTATTCCCTGCCCATGGAAGAGGGTGCAATGAGATGGCCTTTAAAGCCACTCCTCACCCAAACCTTCCTGTGGCTGTGGGATTTTGCCATCAGAGTGGCTGTTACCTGTGGCAAGAGCAGCTCTTGGACTGAAATAAATTGGACACCCCGATTCTGCTGGACTGAAATAGGGGTCTCCTCAAGCCAGGTGTCATAAGCTCTTGGGGATCTGTTCCACACCCAAGATAGCTCAGCTACCTTAGAAGGCATAAAATCAGCAGGATGGCTTCTGTGGTAGTGTTGGAAACAAAAAGTTTTAATAAAAGGCAAAATAACAAAACTCTTTACAGAGAAAAACCCGAGCCAGGTGCAAGAGGTCCTTGCTTTGTTTATCAGCAAACCCAAAGTCTATTTGTAAAAGCCAATATCTTTAGCCATTCACCGATCGGTGGAACCCTTGCCATTGTTTCTTTTCCGTGCCAATAAGCCCAGACGCGCTGCTCGTGTCGCCCTGCAGGTGCCGGCCGGCCCCGCGCCGCTGCTGGGCGTGCTGTCGTGCGCGCAGAACCACCGCTGCCTGTCGGCGCCGGAGCTGAGCGCCGAGCGGCGCCTGCTGCTCAGCGCCGCCTCCTCGCTGTCGGCGCTGCACCGCCCCGAGCGCTCCATCAGCCCCGAGAGCAACGACAGCATCTCCGAGGAGCTCAACCACTTCAAGCCCATCGTGTGCTCCCCGTGCACGCCCCCCAAGCGGCTGCCCGACGGCAGAGTGCTCAGCCCCCTCATCATCAAGTCCACCCCCAGGAACCTGAACCGCAGCCTGCAGAAGCCCACCACCTACGAGGCCAGTCCTAGGATACTGAAGAAGTGGGAGCAGATATTTCAGGAGCGTCAGATCAAAAAGACTCTCTCCAAAGCAACCCTCACGTCCTTGGCTTCGGAGCCCGGGGAGGACGTCGTGGTTCCTGACATCACCAACGCCAGCAGTTGCACTAAAGAGCAGCCACAAGCGCAGGAGGATCACCTTGCACCTGACACGACGACGGGAGAGCCTCGCCCTGAGCTGGATTTCCTCCCTTCTGTCAGTGAAGTGAGGCTGGGAAGGGGCAGTGAGAAGAACGGGGGTTCACAGGCCTTAGCCACTGATGACGGTGCTGCAGAACCAGATGTGAGATCAAACGTAACCTCCCTAAACACACGGGTGGCTGAGGCCCCCGACCTGAAGGTGAACACATTCATGGACAAGTCCTGCCTCAGCCTGGGCCCCAAAGCGCTGAGCAGGAGGCTCATGGGCATCGGCGCGTCCCTGCCCGACGGCGGCGCGCTGGCAGTGCCCCTCAAGGGCAAGAAGCAGCTGAAGTACCTGAACAACAGCGAGCTGATCAACGTGCAGAACAGCACGTGCAGCTCCGTGGAGAAGCTCCTCGGGGAGCAGGCGCCGCTGCTGCGCCGCGGCCGCAAGAGACGCTGCAAAACCAAGCACCTGGAGCACAACGGCTCCGTCAAGAGACTGAGGCACGCGGCCCCGGGGGAGGCGGCGCTGCCCCCCGAGGGCCGGGACAGCGTGGAGCAGAAGCTCCAGCAGGAGGAGGAGGACAGGAGGCTGGCCCTGCACCTGCAGCGCATTTTCGACAGCGAGAACAGGACGGTGGAGAGGCGCAGAGTGCGCGTGGACCGGTACCTGCTGCGCTCCAAGAGCACGCTGGGCGCCAAGTAGCACTGCTGGGCCGCGCTGCCTTCCTGGGGGACAGTGAGCTTTATCAGATTGTCTTAGAGGAAAACTATTTTTTGCCCTACTTCACCCACGCAGTTGTTTTTTCGTTTCGGTGGTAAGACATTTCTGGGTCCAGTTCAGAGAGAAGCCAGCGTCCTTTCAGATTTAAAACAAAAAGAGAGAGAATGAGGAAAAAAAGTCCTCAGGTGCGTTGGTCTGAAGGAGCTGTCTGTGATCCCTGTGAATACACTGCAAGGCCTCCACAGGCAGGCAGGCAGGCAGGCAGGCACACCTGGGATCTCCAGGTAGCAGGGCTGTGAACGTGGGCTATGAGGACCATCCCAAGAGAAATCTGAGCTCTGCTCATAGAAATTGCCTGAGAGTCCTCTCCTCTCTGCCTGCCCCCTTTTCTCCCTCAGGCTGCATCTGGTTGTGGGGTCAGCCTCTCATCCATGCTCTGTATTTCTCCTGGGCAGTCCTAAACAGAGCCCCCCTGTATTATTTCCAGATGAATGTATCTCACTGTCTGCAGCAGCAGCACAGATCATTTGTCACTTTCTTGAAGCAGAAAGCCAAATGCAGTAGAAAGAAGGACCTGAAATAAGGATTTTACTGAAAAACCTGCCCCTGCTCCAGCTTCCAGGCTTCAGGCTCCAACCACTAAGAAAGCTCAGGTGAGTGATGCACTACAAACTTCCAGGCATGGAGCTGCGTGGAGCAGAGCTGGCTCAGAGCCTGGGCTTGGTGGAGCGGGCGTTCTCTGCCCACATGTGGCAGGCCACCCTCTGAGTGTTTCTAACCCTCTTCCATGGATTAATTTCATGGATTATTTCCCTGTTGACATAGCTCAAAAAGTTCCCTTCCATTTCAGCTGCCTTGCAGAGTATTCATGGGGACCTTTGTCTGGGGCAGGGGTTGTGGCTTTACCTGTCCTGCCCCCCTGTGCCAGGTGTGCCAGGTGTGCCAGGGCTGTTCTTGGGATGAGCACAGTGCAGGGACAAACTTCCCTGGGATCCTGCGAAGGGAGGGCAGCCAGTGCTCGTGAACAGACAGATGTGGTCTAACTGCATTGCCCCATTTCCTCCCTCCATCTTCAACAGTCAAAAAGAAAACAGGAACTGGTTTTCTTTTTCACTGCAAGGACCCTGGCAGGCTTTTTTTCCCCTAATTGAACTGGATTTTAAAAAAGGAAAAAAACACAGAAAAAAAAAAAAAAAGAAAAAAGAAATCTTATATTTTATTGGGTAAAATTTATATATTTTAAATACTATATTTCAACAGATTGACACTTTTGTTTTGAGAAATCTTATAGCAATGATTCCATAATATATATCTCTATCTCTGCATCTCCTTGCCACACAAACCACTGGATGGTTCAGGCTGTACCTGGGGCTGGTGGCACCTGGCCTGCCCTGCCTTCCTCTCCTGCACCACAGCCTGGCAGGTGCTGCTGTGGGCCCACACCAAACCTGCTCCTCCGTCCAGCTGTCAGTTAGAAGGAAATCGAGGAATTAGAGCCTTGGCTGGATCCAGAGGAGCAGCACAGAGAGAAGTAGTGATGGCCTGGGTCTGCCCTGGGAGCTCAGAGGGAAAGCCACAGCTTTAACCCGGGATCTGTGCTGGTTTTCCCAACATTTTGAGCTTCAATGTGCACTTCCCAGGTGCATTCAGATGTAGAATTCTTTTTGCAGGCCCCTTTTCTGCAGCTCATCCCTGGAGCCCCAAACAGACTTCCCTAAACAGTTTCCTTTTTTCTGGTGGTGTTCGAGGGGGTTCAGCTGGGCCTGGGCTGCTTACACCACAAAAAAACCTATTTACACGCTGAATGTATCTTTTCTTCCCCCTCTTAAAACAGATTTCACAGCCCAATGCACTATGCCAGTGTCTTAAATACCTTCTTTTGAAAAGATTTTATAAGTGTTTAGGGGTTTGTGCGTTGATTTGCTGATCCCAAATCCAAGCTGGGCAGAAGTGTAGGAGGCAGTGCCTGGGCTGGAGCTTGTCCCCAGCCCAGAAAAGCTTCATGGGACCCCCCTGCTCCCAGAACAGAGATCCCAGCTGCCCAGGCATCACGCACAGGCCATGGGACCTGCGTTCAAGGAGACCTTTGGATGTGCAATCACAGTCCTGTCCTGGAAGGGTTGCGGCGACGCAAAGCCAGGATGAATGTTCTATTAATTTAACACTCTCCAAGTCTGTGTAAGCTTGCAAAAACCAACAGAAATTGTAAATAATTACACTCAAAGGAGCAGGAGCACCCAGCCTCTCCCCTGTAAAGGTCACCTTTGCCAAAAATCATGCCAGCTGAGAAGGAAGATACCTCCTGCTGAACAGTGGATGCAGCACACGAGATCAAACCAAGTATTTATTCACGTTCCTCTGCAAGTCCTCTGCAACCCTCAGCTGCCTTCCCTCCGGGATGAAGGCATTCCTGGCTGGCTGTGGGGCAGCACGGGCATGGGAGTGTCCTCCTCCCACAGTGTCTCCTCAGGAGGGGCTGGGCTTGGCTCCCTGACAGAAGGACTGTGTCTGCCAAAGATGCACCAGCTCCCAGACAGCTGCTATCCCCCCTCTGGAGCTCTCTGCCCGGGAACAGCCGTGCAGGAAGGTCTGTGCTCGGAGTCAGCCCCATGAGACAAATGAAGGAAAAGTGCCAAAAGGGATGGTGCCAGGTGATTGATTGATTGATTGATTGATTGTATGACGCTGTTGTCTATTGTCAGTATTTCTCTTCCAATGCTATTGTACATGCAGTGCACAGCAGTCACAAAGTGTAGCTTGAACAAGCGCTTCTTTCTCTGCATTTTCTCAGCGAAAGCAAAGGGGGAGATCCAAGCCTTAAAGACTCTGAGAAAACAAGCCTTTAGCAATGCTGCGAGGGCAGGACAGCCCTGGCCTGGCCCCAGTTGTCCGGCGAGGAGCTCGTCCCACG